AATCAAACTCTTGAACCCAGTAGTTTGAGGTCAGCCTTGGTCATGAAGAAATACCCCCATCTCAAACAAACAAAACAAAATAAATTAATTCCAACAATATGAAGTCATAAGAACTCCTTGGAAAATACATTATTGAAAAAAGTCATCAGAAAGGATAATATTAACATATAAGACAAAACAACTTGGGAAAAAATAAGCTATAAATTCCTTTATCCTTCCTTTTGGTTTAGACCAACTTTTCCTCTTTCATTGGTGGATAATAAATCACTGGATGTCCCCACATTTAAACCAGGAGAATCAATGCAATTTATTTTCCTAAACTAAAAAGTAAAACAACAACAACAACAAAAAACAATGTTTTTTATACAGGAAGAATGTGATGATTTGATTACATATGTCTAATTGTACTTTTTCAAATAAAATGCCAGTGATGTGCTGAAAGAGCATATTCTTAAATGTATTTCATGTGTATCAGGATGAATTCTACCCTACCAGTCTCTATCACTTTGGTTAGGTATATTTTTTGTGTACTTTTCAGAACAGGTTGTACATATAATAGTGCAAATACTTGAAACAGCAAAGTTTTCTGCTTGGTATTGAAGCAGGCCTCTACTTAGGAATTCATTCTGGAAGCTTTGACAATAAGTATGCTCTGAAGTGATTGCTACAGAGTCTAACAGAGAAATTATGTAGGGATAAATGGAGTTCTAAGATACCCTGACCCCAAAGACATGTCTAGGAAAGAATTACAGATTAGGTTCTTAAAGTACACATCCCAAAGTGTTCAAACTATGGGTCTAAGATACCGTTCAAGCATCTCACACAAGCCCCTATTCCCTTTCATCTCCCAGCACATTTAAGATCTTTACCTGGAGGATTAATCACGGAACTTTTGAAGAGATACAAAGGGAGGGCTGGAGGTGGAGTAGAAAATTACAATGCTGCATGGGTGAAGTACTTAAGAATAAAATAGTCATAGATTAAATCTGAGATAGGGGTTGAAGATTTACATTGGGATATTTTAAGAGTTTAGTCATTAAAGTGTGAGTTAAAGTCTGGTTTTATTCATTTATTTTTAGTTAGGAAAGGGAGACAGCATCCATACATTATTCAAGAAATATATGGCTGAGAAATTGAAAAAAAAAAAAAAAGGACAATGCTGAGAAGTGATTGGATGTAGTAACAGGAGTGGGGTTAGATCCTTAATCTCAGAAATAAAAAGAAGAAAAACCTGGGTTGCAAAATGTTTGAGAAACAGGGTCAAGTCCAAGCTGTGGAAGCTAAATTAAATTTCCTAGAATAAGGCAGTAGAATCCAGTAAGATAGAACCCAGAGGCGATCAGAATGCCAAGTCTCCTACTTACAAATGGCTGCCTAATGCATTTTACAGATACATGAGAAATGGAAGTAAAAGCTAATTTAATTGTTCAACAATGTGGTGCAGATGATGAAATCTAAGCACTTAATTTGGAAAAGAGTATAGAATTAAGATGACTGCATTGATTACTGTGAAGTGTATGACATGTGTGAATGGGCTTGACAGAGAAAGAAAACTGTGCTCTGTAATTTAGAAATCCACAGCTACTTATTTCTTCTAGGAACATGCATTTTATTCATTCAGCTTTTTCCCCCACAGTTGTTTATAGACAATGTTTAAAACATCAACACCATGAATAAAAAAAGACACACTTGAGCATCCTCCCATAAAATTGTATTTGTTCTACAAAAATAATTGTATATATTATTTTTCTCTATTTATATACCTTATAACTTAGGAGGTTGATTTACTAAATAAGAACCAATTTTATAATCAAAATCTACATGTCTATTCTTATTTTGTTCCCAAAATATTTATTGTGAGGTAAGTCTTCAAGTGTGTATGCATATATTTTTTTAGTTGTTCATTTATGTGGCGCTGAGGATGGAACCCAGGGCCTCACACATGTGAGACAAGCGCTCTACCACTGAGCCATAGCCCCAACCCCTGTATTTTTCTTTTTAGTCCTTTCTCTCTATTAAAGCATCATTGGGAAAAGAGTCATTGAATAAATAATTCCCCTAATTGGAACTCAGCAAAGGTTTCCTAGAAAAACAGGAAGAAATGGTAGAAGAGAAATCTGTCTTTATTTTTTAAGATTGTTGGTTCTTAAATTTAAGTGGCAGGGAAGCTACCCAGTTCCAATTCCAGTGAGTGTCCCTTGGCATTTTGCCTGGGCTCCTTAATGAGGGATCGGGAATGTTTGACTTGTCAGATGCTACCTCCCCTCTGCCCTAACTCAACGGACAGTAAGTCCCAGAGGACTACCTCAGGCAAAAATCCAAGGGAGCAAAGTTTGGCTCTCACAATCCTTTAGTTCCTCTTTGGACCCCTCTTCTGTACTACTGATCTTCTGTTGCCCAACTCAAAATAACAGAATCAATGTAGACACATTTGTTTTCTTACTTATCCCAGAGGAATTCATACTTCAAAACAAATGTCGTTTTCAATAAGAGTGAAATTTTAAATATCAGAGTGAAATTTTTAGATTCCTAATGTTTTGGATAACTAATTTTAGATTTTGTACAATTAGACCTAGACAAGTATAGTCAATGATATTTTTTAAATCATAAAAGTTAATATGCTAGAAGAATTTCAATTAAAATATACAAGTTTTTCTCCATTAATTCATCTCAGATTTTTGAGACAACTGGTCCACATTGCTGTGATATTTTAACTTCATGTACCATGTGTTTCTGAATATTTCAAATGCATTGAGGCTAAGCTCAGTCACTTCAGAATCCTGTTATCCTTCAGCTTGGTATTCATTTGGAAATAGCAATGAAAGCCAAATGTGTTTTGTTTACATCTTTGCCAAAGAGAAAAACTGCATGTTTCCCCTTATTAATAAAAAACTGACATATGACATCCACTCAGATGGCTGCCTCTCCAACTTCCAACACTAAGCACTATTTTAAAAATAAATCAATACTACAGTGTTCTTTTTGTTTCTTATTTTCTTCTTTAGCTTCTTTTAAAAAAGGCATGGGAGTATCTGTGTACAAATATATCAGCACCTGATATATCACTGCCTGATATGGAGGAAGGCTGCTGTAGGTTTGTGGCTTTCCCTCATGTCCATCACATATACCATGCACATATAAGAAGTTCACCACAGTAAATCTTCTGGTTCTCAGATAACATTATATTCTCCCTAAAAACCACTGTACACACTATCAAACCCCAGAAAAGGATAACCCCCCACAAGTACACAGATATTTCCCCCCAATGCCTATAGGAGATAATCAATTAATTTAAGAATAGGAAAAAACAAGATAACACAATCAGTTTTCTAAGTGAACCAGTTACTTAATATCTTTTGTTTTTCTTTTTCCTCAGTTGCAAACATATTTCAATAACTTATCTATTCTACTGGGTCTCTGTGAGGATCAAATTAAACATTGTTTGTAAAATGCCTGGTAAATAAAATTCATTAGTGATTGTCAACCTTTACTATTTTTTTACCAATGTTTGAATTTGAAGAAAGACTTTACTCTTAGTGTGGGGGGTAGAGTTGGCTTGTAATGGGTTACAAAGGTAGGGAATGGATTTCAGAAACAAACTTGGTAACTATTACTAAATTACTACATGACAAGCTATCATAAATCACAAAATAATGGTGTATTGCTACTGGAAAAACTGAGGGATTTTCATTGAAATATGCCAAAAATACTGGCAAAGGAAAATATAAGTCACTCTCTGGGCTAAGTTGTGCCCAGTTTAAGTTATTGCCTTGTAATGCAACTGGGAACAAGGCACATGCATAACTTGCAAAATATTTACAATAACTTGTTTCAAAACACATATCACACCTCTGCTGATTGATTTCATAAAAAAAAAATTTGGTAACACATGTGGCTTATGGTACTTCAGGCATTTAATTAATACCCTTTTTTAAGTATGTTGGATTACCTGAAAATATTTCCTTTCTCACTAGATAATGACGGTAGAATATTCCTATGTATTGATAGGGTGATGGACCCACACAAACATAAAGAGCTCTGAGTTGACAGAAGACATTTTCTCAATTTCTGTACTTCTCTCCACTTAATCTCTAAAGTGGCTCAACGACAAGAATCTCTACCTAGATGCCTTCCCAACACCTCTTGAAAACTCAAAAGCCTCTCAAACTCAGTATGTCCAAGAGAGCTCTCATTATCCACCCCACCCACTATCTGTGCATCTTCCTCTGTTGCTTGTCATTTCCTGTCACAGCAAACAATACTATTACCCACACCGCCAATTCCATTTTGCAACCCAGAAACGTAATTGTCATTCCTGACTATCCCTCTCTTCCTTCCAAATTCAGCCCGTCATTAAGCACCATTGATTTTACTAATTTTCTCCTCTTCCCTTTCTCTTTGTCTCCCCCCTGCTTCAGACTAACCTAACTGGCCATCACCTGTCTTCTACATTATGGGATGCCCAGCCCATCTCTGGCTTTCCTAAAGCCTGAAACTCCTGCCAATTCTCTTTGCCTGGTTACCTCTTCAGATTTTCATTTCACTTCCTCAAGGAAGCATTTCTTGACTTCTTGTGCCACATGAATTTCCTGTTTTACATTTTCACAGTGCTTTACAACTTTCCTTTATAGCACTGAATGAAAAAACAAATCAAGATTTTATTTTGTTTTGACACCTTGATTAATATTTTTCTTTCCTATTAATCTGTAAGTTCCTGTAGAGAGGAGACTACATCTATTTTTGGTTACCAATTAGCCCCCCAGGACAGGCTATATGAGCAAGCAATGTTCAGTAGTAAGTATTTGTAAAACAAATGAAAAAAATGATGTCAGGTACGTTTCCCATGAAAGACTATATTGTTTTGCTTAAAAAAAAAAAAAAAAAGACTCAGCAGGCAGTCTGTCATGTAAAATGCAGTTCCAGCTATGACTGTTTAAAAAGTTGACTTAAATTGTTATAAGGATGTGGAGTTTTGCAGAAAGTGAGTTTATACTTCTTACCTTTAGTTTTAAAGAGTTCAGCTTCTCTTCCCTGAGGTGCTCCCTCAGCATCTCCCGGTGCAGCCTCTCCTGCTCCCTGGCAAACTCGCCAAGGGTGTACTGGCGCACGCTGTTGTGGCGGCTGGACATCCCCAGGGTGCTGCCCCCTTGGCTGGGCACGCTTGTGAAGCCTTGCCTCCGGGTGAAGTAGTACACGGTGACACAACTAAAATGCACATTCTTGGTCCTTAGCCGCTTCTCCCTTTTGAGAATGGAGGAAGCTGGAAGGAAAAGAAAAAAATCCGGTCAACACCAAGGGTAGCGGTTCTCAGATGAGGTTAAGAAAATACCCCTTGGTCTTGAATCTATGTATGCTCAACACTTCTGGGCCCTTAAAGATTCTAAAACTCTTGTATCCCAGAGTTGAAGAAAAGACCTTTTAATTTCCTTTCATATACTTTTTTATAGCTATGGCAGAGTAGACTTTTAAGTGTTTCTATAAGGGCAATCCAAGCAAACTTTCAAACTTGCCTATATATTTGTTGCCGAACTTAATTTCTCATTTCCCCTAATTCCTTGCAATTTGGTTTTATGATTTTTACACAAGTTGTATTGTATGATAATAAGGATAGACATAATACAAACTTCCATACCTTTAATCTCATTTCCAGAAAATTATGTTCAGCATTAAAAAATATTTGGCTAATTACCAAAATATAGTTACATGAGAGGATAAGTTCTAATGTTCGACAGCATAGTACAGTGATTATTGTTGACAACAACAATATATTTTCTACAGAACTAGCAGAAAGAAGTTGGAAATTTCCCAAGGCAAAGAAATGATAAATGCTTAGGAGATAAAAATGTTAATTACCATAATATGAAAATTCACACATTGTATGCATGTATTGAAAAGTTTATAAATAAAAATATGCACAATCATTATGTATAAATAAAGATATAGTGCTTGCAATACTTAAAAAAAAGAAAATTCTAAAAATCAATAAAAAAATCACAAAATGACTCACTGTTACTACTTAGATATACTAATAACCTAAACTAACAAAACTTTCATTTCACAAAATAACATCCCATTAAACAGCATTATAGAAAATGGGATTTTAATCCAAGAACTGAGAAAATTGCAAATGCCACAAGATATTTCAGAACTCTTATATTTTTTATCTTTTATTCTTTAAATAACGAAAATTACATCTATTTATGGTGTGCAACAATGGTGTTCTGATATATGTGCACATTGTAGAATTGCTAAATCAAGCTAATGAACATATCCATTAAGTTCCATACTTTTTTTGTGTGTAGTAAGAATCAGAACCTTTATTATTAGTTACAAGAATAGTAAAATACACAGAATATACAGAGCATCAATGAGAGTTGAGGTACACAGTACGGAGTTGAGAAACAGTCATATTATCCACATAACCTTTGGAATTAGAAGACATGGTAGACATTAAGGGGCTCACTACTTTTATTTTATAGTGAAGTAACCCAGGCTAGGGCCTTTGAGTGACTTCTTTATATAATTTGTTTCAGAATTAAACTCCAAAGTTCCAAATCTGGTGCCATATTATCAGAGACTTTCCCACTGGGAAAGGAAAGGCACATTTAATTAAGAATAAAATCATGGGGCTGGGGATGTGGCTCAAGCGGTAGCGCGCTCGCCTGGCATGCGTGCGGCCCGGGTTCGATCCTCAGCACTACATATAAAGAATTGTGTCTGCCGAAAACTAAAATAAATAAGTATAAAAAAAGAACAGAATAGAGTTAAAAAAAAAAGAATAAAATCATGCTATAATGGGCTGATTCTCCCTCCCTTACCGCCCCCCCCCCATATGTTCAAGTCCTAAGCCCCAGTACCTCAGGATGTAATCTCCTTAGGAAACAGGCCTTTAAGGTGAAACTGAGTTAAAATGGGGTCATTTGGGTAAACACTCAGCCAATATGACTGGTGGCCTTATAAAAAGGTAAAATATGGACACAGGTGTGGAGAGAGGGAAGATGATATGAAGGGACACAGAAAGAATGTCATTAGGAGAGGGACACAGAGCTGCCATAAGACAAGGAGTGTCTGTAGCTACCAGAAGCTAGAATATGAAAGGGAAAGCCCTTCCCTTTCAGGTTTCAGAGAGAGCATGACTACCCTGCTAATATGATCATTTTGGTTTTCCAGCCTCCAGAATTGTGAGAAAAGACTTTTCTTTATTTTTAAGCCACTCAGTTTGTGGTACAGTTTTAATGGCAGCCTCAGGAAACTAATACCCGTGCTCAATCAGAAAAACAGAAAGAAGCCAGGAACTGAGAAGCAATTCCTGGATGCCAAAGTAATTAATACATTAACATTTATGGAGTACTTCTCATGTGTTTTACCATGCAAAGACTTTACATGAATTGCTTCACTTTATCCTTACAACTCTTTGAGTTGATATTTTTTATGGTTGCATTTTTAGGACATTAAATCACTAAAAGTTGAATAACATGACCAAGGTTATTTAGTGGTGAATTTGGGATTCGCTAGCCCAGAGCCCAGGCATAGGTCACAGGCACCATGTCACTGTGAGATTTGAAGCCACCCTACTGTTGATTAGTAGATGGATACCTGGCTGCATATCGCCTCTGGTAGATACTACCTGCTGCTGATTTCAAAGATGACCTTGATTTAGACAGTGTATAAGCAGTGGAATAAAAGTCACTACAGTATCACGTAGAATTTACCTAAGAATATTCTTTCAAGCAGCTACAATTTCCTTTGTCTCATTTTTGAACCATAACAATCAAGGCAAATATAAGAGAGGTTACTATGATTAATCTCATTTTGTGGATTTGTTAATTCAGTAAATATAAATTGAGCATCTACCATGTGTCAGATCCTTTCTAGATGGTTGGAATACATTGCTAAAAAAAATCAGGTAGAGATGCCTTCCTGCCTGTAGCTACCATTCCAGGAATGAGAAACTCAGAATGCAGAGACTCAGCAGATTAGAATAGAATTGTGACATTAGCATAAAAATTCAGCTCTCCTAACATTCTCTCATTTTCTACTGTTTGAGTTCCCCAGAAGAAATTGACAGAAAACAAATGCTTTCAAATACGTACATAATTTATCCATTCATTTGTGTATATATTCATTATAAAATACTTATACTCCTGGCAGTACAATTTTTGAATTTGATTTAAAAGCTCTGATCTGCTTCATAACTGTGTTTAAGTCATGTTGAAACAGAGAAGAATTTGTCAAAATGTAAAAAGATCACTACAGGAAGCAAAATTCAACAATCTGTCCAGTAATCTGCCACAAGATCTGACAACCTCATCTGTCACTAATGTACAGGAGGCTAAGAAGAGCCTCTGGTGTTTAGGTGATAACCTTCCATCTTTGTTGTTCTTGATATCATAAAAAGGATGGCCTTAAGCCATTATCTTTCAAAGCCATAAATGTACAGATAAATAAACAGGTTTTAACTCTCTCACTTAAGACAGTTATTTTTAAACATCTCTGATGATATTATTACTTATTGTTTAGACCATTGGTGGACATTGTAGACAAATTTATTTTTAAATAATTTAATAAGATCTATATGTTTACTTTTATATTATAAGAATTCTTCATCCTTTTGGATAAGTATCTCTACCCTATCCCAAAATGTCAAATGATCCTTTCCCCAAAAGCCAGAATGCACAGGTGATTCTCTGAGTCTTTGAAGATGACAGTAGTGGCAGAAAGCAGGAGCCTTTTAGCTGCTTCCTTGGCAGGGCTTACATTACTGAAGTGTATAGGAATAGGGCTTCCTTCGATCTGCTAAGATTTAGCATTCAAACATGCTTCTCTGTGCTAATTTTAACATTTGCATTTTATAAATAACACTGTAAAAACAATGATCCCAAAGACTATGAAATATATTCAAAGAAGAGGTTTTCAAAAACTATAAAATCAGCCTAACTGAGGGTACTTAAAGTGTGGCTTTCTTGAACTTAGGAGCCACCCACAACTCCCACAGCTCTCCTCTGATGATTGAATAAGATCACTGGAATGGGACATTCTGAGATATCTCTTGCCTCCAGGCTCCACTTTGACTAACATCACAAAATGAAGTCACAAAAAAAAAAAAAAAAAAGTCTGTGTTCTTCAAGCCTGGGAAAAATAGACTGAATTCACTCAGCACATCTGCCTTAGGGAATCTGAAACCTCCCTGATAAAATACCTACCTAGTAATTTGTGCTCTTTACAGAATGAATGAACTCTAATTTGTGTATCTATAAAGTTCAGTGTTAGTTTTACTACTGTGAGGTCAAGAGCAAGAAAAAAAAAAAAAAGGAGAATATGGCTTTCATTACTGCTTTGAAAAATAATTAGTGTTTCATATTCTATACCAATTTTTAAGTGCCTTTCAATTCCTTTTCTTTCAATGGAACCATAGTTACCACTGAAGAAAAAGAGTCTAGGTGCAAAGGTACTATACATATTGCCTGGACACAGCTCTTAGGAACAACCACATGGTCAGCACATCAGGGCATACTGATGTTACTATAAAATGATCACCTATTATAGAGGTAATATTGATCTTTGCAATAAAGGAGTAAATGGCAAAGTTATTCCAATTAGCTATCTGCAAAAACTATTTATTCTAATAAATCCTTGAAAAATGAATGGATAAAAGATTTGCAAAATGGACTAATTCACAGTGCCAGGATAAGAATGTAGCAAAATAAGGTAAAGTGATCCATACTATAAATTATACAAGGGAAGGATTCTTGAACAGAGTGGATGATAAATCTGCAAACCAAAAAATAGGAATTGCACAATATTTCTAGTACAACCCAAGAAAGCAAGCACTCTGAAGAGACACATGTTCTACATATTCTGATCCCATACAGAAGATGAGTACACCAAGGTGTCAAAGTTGAACCATACTAGCTTCTAAGAAACTACAACCAACTTCGTTCCATTTTCACATTCATAAACCACTTGTTCATAAAGGTTGGAAGACATCTTTGATTCTACAAGATTCTCTTAAAATAAGATTTTCTTATTGAAAATAATCAAAATTTCTTTCTGATTTATACCTCAGTCATTTGTGAACATCATTCATATGTATGATTCTACTGAGCTTGGTGATCTCTGCATGCCCAGTGACATTCACGTATCTGGGCCTGTAAAACTGAAGACCAGATTCTCTAACACTAATCCCACCATACAGCAGCCAATCTGGAGCAAGTGTTTGAGCAGCAAGCTGAGCACCCTCTTTAGACACACTTGCTCTCA